AAAATAAAATAAACACTCCAAGCTATTTATTATTCTTCCGTTGAAAACGTCTATTTTATTCTAATACATCTCCACAACTCTACATACATCTGCTTTTATTATTATTTACCTCGTTAAAATGTTCCTGGTATTTTCCTCAAACTGGGCAAAATATGACACGTTCAAATATACATAAATCAAAGTTATGTTATTAACTCTACCACAGATTACAATCGCCGGATCATAAGGCAAACTTATCGTCCGCTAAGCAAAAGTTAACCTATTACTTATGGATTCTGAACAACCTTCTACGCGATGATTCGCTCGTGTAAATTTCGGTCTGTTACCGAAACTCGTCGAGGGCGTCCTCCAATTAAAAATACTTTATTACCAAAACTAGCGGCCGCCCGCGACTTCGTATGAGTGAACCTCGTTACCAAAATTATAAAATTGAGTTTTCATATTGGATTACAAACTTGTATCTCCTATTTTTTACTTTTTCCTGAAAAAGGTAGCCTATGTTCTGCCTCCTAATATCTCTATGTTTCAGTGAGTGAAAATTAAGTAATTTTTAATAATGTAAGTAAAATCAAACCTTCTATCTTGAAAAAAAAACTGGTTTAATAGAAACAATAAGTTATGCATTGACGATTGAAAAACGCTTCCCAAATCCAAGACCCAAGTAGGTACTACTCTTGAAGTTTTTGCCTACCTGCCCCTTCCAACCTAAAGTTAAATAGGTACTTAGCTACTTAGGTAAACCTTCATATTCTAAGTGGAAGAATACATCCATTCTCATTCAAGATGCCTACTTAGAAGGCAAAAAATGAAAGCCTAAAAAGTTCTGGGTATATAAAAGAGGCAATAGGCAGTAAACCAATCCATCAAGATTGCCATGAGAGTGAATACGCTTCAAGGCTATAAAATGTTCAGTTCAGTAAAACACCAAGTTTATTATCTCTATAAATAAAGGGATTACCTATGTCTACCTTATTAATATGTATCGTTTACTCTTTAATAGGTACATACAAGACCTGATGTCAGTAAGGTCAGTAGGTTAGATTCAAAACTGTATCATGTATGACGTAAGTTTTACTTATCAATACATCATTTCCACAATCAGTGTGCAATTAAATATAGTACTCATGAATCAGTCACATATCACGATACCATGCTCTTAATGCATGCTGCGTGGAAATGGCGCAGAAAAATGGAAGCAATAAATACTGAACTGTGTACTACGAAAGATACGACAAATATAGACTTCAGATAGGACCACAGACATCTATATTAAGTTTAAAATGTTATCATTTAATTTCAACTTGATACGATTATTGTTTCAATATACACTGAGTTAAGTTTTTTTAAGATAAAAGTGTTAAATCTTTTGACAATCTTAATCATACATCACGTGCCATAAGTAGGTATTAGTACTACTGGGAATGACATTGTATAAACATTACCTACTGAAAGAGATCAAAAGGATTTTGCAGCTTATTTACGATGGTTGCCTAATATACTTTTTCACGTTGATAACGTAGTAAGATTCAAACACTTAAGATATTCTTTTTTCCAAGATATTTTCCAGAATATCTTGAATGATCCGATATAACACCCACAGGTATTGAGTGAATGAAGTTGAAATGGTCGAATTACAGCTCTCTTTCATAAAATATCTAATATTTTGTAGGCTATAGTATCTATAATACTTAGTACTAAAAGTACCTAACTGACCACATTTTATGCACTTAATTTAAGTAATGTATACTAAAAATTAGGTTGGACGATAATTCTAATGGTTCTAAATTTTGGTAAATTGCGGTCAAATACCAGCCGTGTCTAGCATAAAAAAAAACTAGCATTTCATGCTTACATTGCCAAATACGCAGTCACTCATTACTCACAGGTAATAATCATTAATTACAAAACGTCGTCTTAATCAAAACACTCATAATCCTAAAAGTAATCTTATAAGCATGATAAATATTACCAAATTGTTATTACGAGTTCGAATCCGATTCCGACGGCTCGTTGCGCACCGAGCGTTCCCTCGAAGGTTGTTATCGACGTTGTAACGACGTATCGATACTTGACACTTGTCAATTTATTTCAGTATCCATAGATATACAGGGTGAAATTTAAATCGTTGGCATCCATCTAAAATGAGACTCTACTTAAGATACATAGTTCGTTCGTTTCAGCCAAATGACGTCCACTGCTGGACAAAGGCCTCCCCGCCCGCATCCAGGTTCTTCCTTAGGGGACCGTGACCCGTGACCTTAGAGGGTCTGCCCACATGAAACCTAGTACATCCCCCAAATATGAGGCAAATCCAATGAGCTCTTTTGTCTTTATTTTTACTATTTATTTGTATTAGTATGCTCTTTTAGAGTTTAAAACAATAGTACAGTCAACAGCACATCACAAATGTTTGTTGCAAAGTACCTAACACCTATTACATCAAAATAGGCCACAGTTTTTAGCTTGATTGCTGTTGCTCGTACAAGGATTGGATCCGTACTTACAGGATTTTGTTTTTGTTTGATCCATACTTACAGGGAAAACCTGTATATTAGGATCAATAGGTGGACACTCATTCATATCGATGAAGCTAACGCTGAATGGAGTTCTGCCGTTAGCATAGAATATAAATATCAAGCACAAGAGCTATCGAAAAAGCTTTCCTTTTAAGATACACCTATACCTACATAATAGCCATTACAAATAGGTACTCACGCTTAATGCATGAAAGACTAAAATAAATAGGCATTGTTAAAAAATCATAATCGCTTTTGTAAACTCAGATTGCGAGTGCGAAAATGTACTTACTTTGATTGATGATTGGAAGAAAAGTAAGGCGGTGCCCTCTACCATTAACTAAGCATGCTACTTATCTAACCATTTAATTTTATTTGGAATTCCACGACGCGCATTATTCTTACGAAAAACCCAAACTTTTTGCTTCGAATTAAATACGCTGCTATTTATACCTACTGGAATTTTTACCTAAAACAGGAGGTAAGTATTTGTGTACCATGCCGTAATACGATAGCATCGTGTCACGTCATTTGTTTTTGTAGAGCCAAAGAATCCACGATAAAATTTGCCAACAACTAAAAATATAATCGTTAACAATATATTATTTACGGAAATTAGTAATCGTAAGCTTTATAAATTTAATTCGTAACGTAAAGTAACAGTAAATTAGGTTTAGCTAATTTATAATTAACCTCTCGCTTTCTATTTTACAAAGAATTAAATTACTAACTATACCTAATCACTACTTATTTATTTAAACGCCTGTAATACAAATTTAATTAATTGATTGTGCCCTACCTTCTAAAGACTGACATTGAATGTATATTTCAAGGTGTTAATAAGATTGTGATTGTGAGCTTTGAGATGAAAATTACTCTATAGGTACACACCTAACAGTGTTTTCCTTTGTACATAAAAGGGAAAATATTTATTTCCTGTTAGTGTGAGGTAGTTAATAAAGATGTTATGCATTCTTCACGTCTTTCCTACATATCGACTTCCACAATATTTAAAATAAAGATAATTAATTATTGTACCCCTATTATTACGTACTTATTACTCATGTAGGTATTATTTAAATATCTGAATGGGCAAAACTTATCTTACAATCGAGTTTTTCGTTTATAATACTTACCTAACGTTACACATTTGAAATAAACTCAATCTAGATTTCCATCTGTAAAGGGACATCCCTGACGTTTAGGCAAAGAGATAACGGCCCCAATATTTCAGAGGACATATCACATGCGCAGGGCTGTTGTCATTTATCAGAGACGAGCTCACGAGATGAGCTACATTTGTTACCTGCTACCTATCCTTTTAATTGTTTACTACTGTGTATACTAAGTATACAATATTTTTCTGAACTAAAATCCTACATTTTGCCTGAAAAATGCTTCCAGTCAAAGAAAACATTAGACTATTTAACTTCAAAAATTAAAAATTATCCAGATAAGTTCTTCGTTCATTGATAACCCTAACATAATCTCGGACATAAAAAGAATTACAATCTCGGAAGCCTGTCACAAAGACATCATTTTTAGATCTAATCTCATCTGCTGATATTAAATACAGATATATCTACAGATAACGTCCCAAATCGTGTTTGTGCCTTTATATTTCATCTATTACTTTGAGAATCTCTCCCTTATCGTACAAGGAAAATAACAATCACTGTTGTTTAGATCATGTACCCTTTGCCTAAAAATGCAAATGGTATAATTTACTTAGACTTGCTAATTGTTGTAGAGGCAAGTTTACTGTTAAGGTGGGTCTAATAAAAACGTGTTTTGTTTATTTACTCAGTAGTTACAAGAAGGTTTAAGACTATATTCACGCACCTGATAACCTTATATTTTCGTGTAAGTAAGTAACAAGAATTTATAGGGCTGAAATGAACGGCTCCAACAATCTCCTCTGAAATGTCTGTGTAATCGAAAAGACTTGTGGCAGGGGTAAGCTGAGTGAGATCAAGTTCAGGGAATTTATGTACTCATTCTTTATTCAATTCAAGATCCCAGTGCAAAAATTTGCCGCTGAAATTACTTTTTATCTTTCACTAGAATTTATTTCCGAGTTATAACTTCATTGTTCTGTTGGGATAAGCCGTAAAAGGATGAAGAAAATGAGAAAATTTTGAAAAAGAATTACACAAAGACTGAAAAATTAGATGAGACAATCGTTGGTGTAAATTGTGATCCTTTTAAAATTAAAATACCAGCAGATATTTCGAAGCTAAATGCTAAATTATTGTTTGTAAAATCGCTCTCATTGTCTCCATCTGCGTCCATCTTATTAACGGATGGAAAATTAAGAGTCAGCGCTAACATGATGATTCAGTTAAAAGCGGATTGAGCAAACCATGGTCATTCTGGCCCATTATCACTGCGGCCACACCGCCCCGGAGCGAGTTTGTTTTGCACAATGCTCTTTATTCGAACAGCTGGGAATGTATCAAATAATCTCACATTTACAGTGCAATTCTATGTTATCTGGTTATTTTTGTTGTCAGTCCGACTCCGACGACGCGTGAGGTTGGACGCGTGCCGAACTGTACTCCGTACAAACTTCGATAGAACATTGTTCCACTTACGGATTGTTTTCAAACTTTTTTATTTATCAGTGACACGACGCTGAATCCAACGTAAGTTTAGATCGTATTTCTTTTAAATTTTTCTCAGATAAAACTAAAATGTGCGTTCAAGAAAACACCGCGGGCGTCTTTTTATTTTTGGCGCGAGATCTTTGACATGCATTTTTAAAACAAAGAACTCTACACCGGTGGCATCCTTGACTGCTCTTGAATTTTGACATTGTGGTGAAAAACTCATTGTACCTACCTTCCACAAAATTGTGAGTATTCTTCTTATTTGTTGTTTCGTTTATTTACCTATGGCCTATATCATAATAAATAGTTTATAAATACTTAAATATACCTATTCTTAATTAATACTTGAATAAAATATAATAAATAGTTTGTGAACATAAGGAAATAATATCAATGTTGAAATGATTTACTTAATTTTACTTGCAAACACGTATCACATTACGATAACACTGTTGTTGCATAGTAAGTCAATTAATACTACTAGACAATGGCAGCCTATTAAATTCTCGACCTAATTGCTCCACGATTGTCGATACAAGACAAGAATGAATCGTGAACAGCAACTAAACCAATCACACTTAATATTTTATTTCGTCAATGATCGTAAAGTTTAAGTGATCATTTTCGCTATAAGCTGTCCACACGTGCGCTTGATACATGTGCCCTAGTAGGTAATATTATATCAACAGAGTCATCGATTTATTTACTTAATTGTTGCTTCGAAGGAACACCTTACCATAAAGTTGTTTTTGAAAACTGAGGAGATTACCTGGATGATTAGGAAAAATCAAAATTTTGTGGAAATATTTCTCACATAATCCTTTAACTTATGTTTTTCATCGTATCAATCATGTTTACTTTAAAATCCCAAAAAGGGGCGTAATGACAACAGATGACGTCATGATATCGGTATTTTTTGCGAATCACGATGACGTGCGCGTTTCCCTCTCGGCCAATATTTACAAAAGATTCCGTGTTGCGATGAAGCGCCGCGCCGCTGGCCCAGTTGTCGACGTCAGTCCCATACAAATCTTCATTAAGGACATTAAATGTCGCACAAAGGCTAAAGCCGTGACCTTAGATAACTGGGAACCCAAAACAAAGGCACCACAATGAGAAGTCAAAATGGTGATGTTATCAAATGACCGACTAATTTGCAAAACCTTGTTTAGTATTCACTGAAAGTTCAAAAGACCCCAAGATAAGGGAGAGTCCGCTAATTTGGACCAGTTTTTTTCAATCCCATTTTACACATAGTTTTGTTTTGTTTTTGCTAATGTCCATGGTATATAATAAAAGATACATTATTCAACTTACTATTTCATAAGTATTAATTAACATGATTGTTGTATATTTAGCACAAATCAACAAAGTACGAGTTCAGAGCTTCGGTCCAATTTAGCCAACCGGTTCGATAATTTGTACCACAGGGTTACTAAATTGGATTTCAATAAATTTCAAGCCCATAAAAAGACGATGGCAAAATATTATACGATACATTCTTAACAAATTAGGAAACGAAAAGGAACAGTGGTTAATAACATAGACAATCGATATTGTTTTACACGTTATCACGATTTTGAGTACAAGTTTTGTAATTCCAATTATCGTAACGCACACTTGTACCTAATCTACTTTGCCAGTCTTTTGCTTTCATTTATTGTTAGTCAAACATAACTACGCTATTATAACTTCAAAATATGATTTACTAAAAAAAATTTCAAAATCCTTTGGTAAAGTTCCATACAACTTGATGTGGTACAATTTAGCCGACTAGGTGATAGTGCTTTTAAAAAATCGGTAAAAAATATAGCTTATAAATACCGGAAAATGTTTCAAAAAATTGTAATCCACACTAATTTACTCTTCTAAATAATATATTAGGAACACCCTGTGATTAAATTTAACAAAATTACAAACTAAACATGTATTGTCAAAAGTTACTTGAAAACAATGAAAAAATACTTTTCAAAATAAAACACACGTGTTTGTTGTCACGGCAAAAACCACATGGCCGATATTAATTGATTTTAGTTGTGTATCGCTGAGTGTTGCAATTACAGACATTCAATAAATACTTTACGAAATATGAGGGTGGTACAATTTACCCGGCGGTACAATATACCGAACTCTCCCTATGATTTTTTCTTCACCTGTTAGATGAATTAATTGGCTTGCTTTAACCAATTACCTAACTACTGTATTAATTAATTTTAACGAAATTTCTATCGAAAGCCAACAATTGTTGTTTCATGAAAGTAACTTAAAGCCAACACTCCTTTCTTTCAATAATAATATTGTTACCTATAGCTAAATAAATTCCCAAAAGCCCTTATCAATATTTATTTCAGCTGAACTTAACTAACTTATCAATTCCAGTTATATAATCTTTGTTTACTGAAGTTTTGTTATGATAGTGGATAAGTTAAATAACCGTTAATATTTAATGTTTCATAATGTTACTTAACTTGACATATTACGAATAAAATAAGTAATACGAATAAAAACACAAATCATATTATAATTTACTTACTTTTTGCCGACTCTACACGGCTCCGCGAAATTTATAGGTATTCTCATACATATCTTAAGAATCTTTTCCAATGATAAAACGAAGCATAAGTCTATTAACGCGTGGTCATGAGTCATAAAAACGTTAATACGAGTAATATCTAGATTCTAGACCAACATATTTGTAAAACAAGTAGGAATGCGCTTAGAAGGTAATGTTGTTTGACCTTATTATAAATTATTATAAGTCACACAGCAATCACATTAATTTGCGAATACTAATTAATATCGTCAATTCTAATAAAATTAGAATGAGCATTAAAAAGTGAAAAAATGCTGGCTGCTCATACATAGTGGTTAAAACAAAAGCTTAGAAAGTCATGAATGGGTACGGGAAGAAAAGGTTAATTCGAATGAGAGCAATCCCAGTTGGATGAAAAATGCACGCTTCGGCAGACCTTCTATGTAGAGCGAATAAAGCCCCATTCAGTTTCAATTGAGTACGTGTATTTGAGCTTAATAAAATAATAAATAATTACTTTTAGCCCTACGAACGGGAACAAAATGTTTTTTACGCGTAATGAAGTTTGAGTCAATAGAATAATACAGTACTTATTATTATTCTATGATAATACTCAAAACTCAAGCTATTTACGTATCATGTAAATAAGTTGTTTGTGTAAATTTGTTGAAACATTCTTGAGAGACTTGCGTTTGAAAAACTATCAAAACAAGGCTGATGACACCATTTAATCGTATATGACTATTATTAAATAGATTTCTCTATAAGCAATCTACATAATTATTATATCGTCGCATTATTCTCTGATTATCAATTACCTTGTCCCTTTTTATGAGTCGTCATTCAGTGTAACTGACGAAAACTAGACCGTTTGAATCATCGCCCTGATGAATGCATCATGGTCAATGGAATCATTCTTCAAATTATTTATTTATTGTATACCTAAGAGGTAATTATAGTAACTTGATTTATTGCTGTGTTTATAAAGTCCTAAGGTTATCCGTATAAAGTCATTTCTGGTTTCAAATCAGTAAATACGTATACGTATGTTCCAGAAGTGTAGAGGTCATGATTGTTTGTAACTACAAGTGCGTATTTTCCGGCATGCACTCCTTATAAACCAGTAATAAATTATTTTAAACCAACCATGTTATGATTCCGAAACTTATCGTGCCAAGAAAATATATTTTTAGCAAGATAAATGAAAATCCGAGTATAAACAAAGTAGGTCATAAATACATCTTATTCTAAACAAATGGATATTGAATACTGATATCAACACGTATTTTTTAGATCATTTAAAATGTTTTTTTTTTTAAAGCGCATTTCATCATCATCATTTCAGCCATAGGAGCCATCACTGCTGAACATAGGCCTCCCCCAATGATTTTCACAATGGCCGGTTGGTGGCTGCCTGCATCTAGCGCCTTCCCGCTACCATTATGAGGTCGTCGGTCCACCTTGTGGGTGGACGTCCTACGCTGCGCTTTCCGGTATGCGCATTTATTTAATCGAAAATTATCCTATTTTCGATGAAATAAACTTGAATTGATACCTATAATTTTTGAAGCTGTCTTAAAGACGTTTTACTTACCTATATTTTTACTTCACACTAAATGTTTTAACGACCTACGGCAATAAGATAAGCTTTTATACAATCCAATACATTTGTCAAGATCCGGCACATATTATTTCAATTACATAGCCAATGATGTAAGAAACGTGCGCAGGAGTGGATCGGACGCTCCGACCCCTTATCGCGCCGATAACTCGCGATAGGGGCTCGGTCAAGCGTGTCATGTAACAAGTCGGGATATCATGTCATCATATCGTTACTTAATAGAGACTATGTTTTTTTTTCCATTACATATCGAAATGATTACTATAGGAAATTAACCAGTACATATTCTGGAATTGAGTTGTTTCTTTGTATTTGATCTGACACTTACATCCAAAAAAAATTAGGACCATAATTTTTTCATGTTAAAAATAATAATATTAATTAAATATTGAGAGTTATTCCCCTGGAAAAAGTGTTTTTTAACAAGCATTACAAATCCTGTAATGTTATATCAATTTATTATTAGTATGAAAATTATTATAGATTAGGTACATACCTTCACGTGGTAGGTTGGAAATAATAAATTTTAGAACCAAAAAAATTTATTGTCTATTGATATCTATTGATTGAAATGTCACTAACATTTTTTGTCATCGCCACCTCTTGCTCGTTTTTAGTTTATTACAGGACACATCCATCACCCCTTACATCCCGTAAATCCTTTGGGAAAAGAGTAGCGTTATATGAGATAACGATATTTTAGACTCACTATAAGAATATTTTTATTGGCAGCTTGTCGGAGCTCCTTTTCACAAAAAGGTGAAAAACTCACGCTTACAGCAAAGTTAGCAAGTTTGTGTAATATTTAATTAACTACGTTGCCTCTAGCTTAATTGATACAAGCAAAAAACTAAGTAAGGCTTTTCATCAGACACGTACAATTTAATCTGTAACAGTTTTTAAAAACTATAATGTGATTTTAAGAAACCCAGAATAGTGTAAAAATAGATCTGAAATCTGTAAGATAGTAAGTAAAGAAACCTTATGTTAGAGACACAAATATATTTGACATTATTTTTCAAACCTCTTAAAAGTTAGAGATAGTAAAGGAAGCATTTGAGACTGCTGAAATATCCTATTCCAATTCCGATTTTTAGTCACGTAAGCAGTGAATGCAATATAGGGCTTTTGTGTGGAATTTCAATAAAGCTTCTATTTGTTTTGATGAGAATGACGTCAAAATTCCCAGAACTTTTAATAAACGTGCTTATTTTTATCTCGTTTTATATACTCAGTAATATTCTGTCGCAATCAGTATGTAATCGATAATCGTGCTACTATCACGTCGATAAAAAATAGCCAGCCATTAATACAGATTATTATGACATTATTAATGTTCATATCTCGTTATTACATGATTGATTTCGCTTCAGTGAAAATGAGGCTTTCTATGTTTTAGTTAGTAGTTAACACTACGATAGTTCTAGTATATTTTTATAAGATTTTTATCAATTTAAACATTGATAAGTCTACGAGTATAATAATAAAGAACAGCTTGATGATGTTAATGTTAAGCTGTTTCTAATGAAGAAAAACTTTTAATTGTTTCATTAAGTTTTTGTTTAGAGAGTTCAGATGGGTATGTGACAAGCTACAAAATTAAATGTCCATGAAAACTACTCGTGGCTCATGCATTTTGCTCACAATCCTTCGTAGCGTACATTATAGATTACATTTTCTATAATTTATTATTTTTAGGTATTGATTAGTGTTCGACGCTGTTTATTTTGTCCTCGCCATAAATAGCGTGTCGAGACTAACGAGGTCTAACACCTTTAGGCTTCTTTTTTTAGCAATTTAAAAACCACAAATCTGTACGAACAAAATGAAGCTAGATTAATATCCTCATCACAACAAGCCACTCAGCATTCACTGGGTTATACGAAAAAGTGATCGAAATTAGACCTTCCAAATACGTGACACCAGGCAAAGGCGGCGGACATTTTAATAACGTTATTTATATTCCATACTTATTGCCATAAAATATTATTTTAAATTAGCCTTTGTCCGCGGTTTTTTTCCCTGTGGCATTAATAAATTAATCTATCTAAACCGTCAAAACTATAGATTTACATAATTTTAAACCTCTTTGTAGTTTTTAGGCCCGATTCGACCAAACTTTTATCCGAGAATAACTCCTGGTATAACTGGCACATTGACAGTTTCATTATGGGAAATAATTATGTCAAAATGATTTTATTATGAGATGTTTATTCTGAGATTAATATTTACTCTTGTTTGGTCGAATCCACCTTACTACTTTACTTTAACCTTTAAGATGTCATGTTTTATTACAAAGTAGGTAATTTAATTTGTATTCAAAGGAGAAGCTACGAGTACCTTATTGAAATACCAATTATTATAATCAACATAAACAACTAGTTACTAAGTAAATAAGATTGAGTACTTATCGTAACAGTTCGTTAATCTATGCCTAATCTATGCAAATTATTTAACTCGCTATCCCAATACTGGGTGAAGGCCTACTAGGCATCCAATCATTAGTAATTGAACCAAATGCTTGGATTAAATACAGTTAGACCGCAAAACTAAGTATTAAGTAGAAAATTATCAAGTTTAAAATAAAATTTTAGTTTAGTGAAATCCGCTTTAAATGAAATAAGATCACATGTTTCTTAGACAGTTTATTTTGCAAAATATTTTAGCTTAAATTCAGTAAACCACTAAATTTAGCTTTTCCCAACGCTGCAGCGTTGTTGGGAAACTAATATCGGAATATTAAACATTCTTGGATCTTCCAACGTCTTCCTGCAATCTAACTTTCATACGTGACGTTCATTCTATTGTATTTTGAGATAAAACTGCTAAAGTATTTTGAACCCAACCACCATCATATAAAGCTAGATAACCAAAAATGTTCTAAATTAAGAACATTTATGATATTCTAAGCAATATTATGGTATTACCAGCTCCATTTAGGTATCTTATAACACAGATAACCCAAAAAATCTATTGAATAGTTATCGGGAAATCACTTGTCTAGCTAGCAACCCAGATATCGACGTTTAGATATTGATATACTCTACAAATACTGATATAGCCTACGTTGTAGGGTTCGGTTGTTTCTAAAGGATTATCAATCAATTAGTTTCTTTTTGGGTCGCGAGAAACATAACATAAATATTCATAATTGGGTTAGGGACAATAGGTCGTGAGTGCCATTCCGAATATTTTTTGCAATAAACGAACCGATTAGAATGTCATAAATTGGTTCGTGGGTTTCGTAGTAACGGCCCATGAATAGTTAATGCTGCTCTTAGGGACGTCTGTTACAATCTCTTTATTGAGTTAGGTTTAACGTAACATTCTCACAATAATCACTGGTCTCTTGACACCTACTTCTACCTTTTCAAAAATCTAATAGTTTTCCATGACTTTTCGGACTACGCAACCACTTAAATGTACTTGAAAATATCAAATGTATAATAACATTTCAGATAACTTGCTGTCATGATCTTTTAGTTAAATGACATTATTTTTATATCTCGTTTGTGATAAAGATATACTTAAATAAAAATGTATATTTTTATCTGCCGTATCGTGTCAACAATGACTTGTTTTTCCAATGTCTTTTATCTGAACATCTCTTGTTTCAGACGAGGAAAGCCGCCAAAAGAAAACATGTCTCGCATCCACTGGACGACATTAGCATACCAGCCCGTCCTAAACCGCAGATAGGCCCCGGAATAATGTACTACAATAATAGATAATACCTATAGAATCTAGCTGCTTTACATACAACGCGCTTCCATAATATTCCAAACATCGGTTCCTCCAGATTTTAAAAAGATTAAATATTTTTAATAATCTAATTTTAATATTGACGAAAGCTTTAAACGCATAGTAATAATAATCAATAACAATCATATCTGAACGACAATACGAGTATATTAATCAGATCACTAGTTAAAACTGAATTTTAAAAGCGCTTTAAGAATCATATCAAAATCAGCTGCCTTATAAAGTGACAAATTAGTGACTAGTGCCAAACGTTCGAGAAATGTCGCACGGAGGAGTGAAGAGCGCGAAGAATGGGAACGGGACAGCGGCGCAGGAGTCGCCGCGCTACGAAAGCCCGCCGCCGCCACCTGATGGAGGCTGGGGGTGGATGGTCGTCTTCGCTTCATTCATGATCCACATAGTCAGTGAGTATTTCTTTGATTAATTAATTATTAAGTCAAACGCAATCTCTAACCAAATGTTATGTGATGCAGTTTAAAAAATCCATGATACCTACTATAGACGACTCTACATAACAAAGTTAAAGTAAGTTTCAATTTCAAAAAAGTTAGTTTTTCAGTTCCAACTCAATGTTTGCGCTACCTAGTTTCTAAAACGAGGGACTATGTACATACTCGTATACTCTTACATAATGATGTTGTTGTTATGAGTAGTTAGTGGGAGGCTCTACAACTCGTGAGTTTAATCAACTCCGACTCCTAACTCAATATTAGTTGTAATCACGTAACCTAATAAACTAGAGGTTTCTGCTCCCACATAAATAAAAATAAAGATATCTGACAGCAAATATTGCAGAAAGTTATGGTTACTTTATCTTAAAGCTAACATTTCACTTGTCAGTGCAATCTTATCGCTGTATCAATCTCGTGACTTTCAGCATTTACCTCAATGCTTGGTTTGGCTGGAGATCCTATTACGATTCTATACATAATTCAACTTCTTTGCTTCTCGGTAACACATAATACTATTATGTAAAAATGGGAACAATTGTTAGGGTTTAGGCAAACAGTGCTGGCTGCGGGACCTCTATTTGCAAAGTTAACATTGCTCGGGTACGATTGATGTTCAATTACAGCGGTAGATTGAGGTCGGTTTGAGAACTGAAAACATTAAATACTTTTTCATTACCTAACCTTAATGTTTGTAATCAATTGGGTCGTAACGAGACACTTTTTACTTTTTTGATAATGAGACTTATCTAAAGCTTAGATAGGTACCTATCATATTAAATTATAAAGACACGGCTTACACATTTATGACTGAGTTACATTATACAGGGTGTTTGGCGCATCGTGTGCCAAAATGATTTGGCGGATAGAATGGGCCATTTCCTATATTTTCAGCCCCCATAACACGTTCCATGTCAGGCGGCTACTTTTATATTAAGTTATTTAGTAATATCACCAAAATACCCGAATTGCATCATTTAATTTCGATTTAAAAAAAAACTACTAAGCGTAGCCTCAAAGTAAATATTTTGTTTTGACGTGCATTGATATAGGGTTGCATCAAATCTAAATTTACTGGCAAATATCATCTAGTTTTTTTTTAATTCAGCTTTGAACTTTTCCGAAAAGTAAAAAATGGACTGAACATTTAAGTTTACATGGCTATAAAATTTTTTTTAAAAGAGATAGCGATCTTCGGATTTTATCAAAACTTCTCTAGTCTATCCCCATTCAAACGGTATACTAATCTTGTTNTCAGCCTTATTGCGTTCCTGCGATTAGATCTAGGTATTTCCTCGAGCCTCGAAAGAAATGATAACGATGAAACACATTATTTACCACTATTTAGGTCGATTTAGGTAAAAATAGGATTTAAGATACCGCGCAAGCACTCTCAAATTTAACAGCTGCTTAAGACGATTTGACAGTTGTTTGACTAATGCTTAGCGTTGAATGGCGTTTCAGTATGCGAAAATTCATTTAAGTGGCATTTGAGTGCAACTTAATTTGAGAGGTGCTTAAAAATTGAGAACTGCTCAGATATTGTTTTGAGTATGCGAAATGTAAGTTTAGGAGCTGCTTAACTATTTGAGAAGCCGTCAAATATTTAAATGGCGTTTCAGTATTCGGCCGTAAGCCTTTTAATCTTGGTAGTACTTTCATGATAAAACCGATGTTATACACGACTAGTGGAATTCTGCTTAGTTTTTCGCTTCGCCTCAACAATCGGCGACGCCACACACAAAGTTATCTGTCGTACTTAGATACACCAACCCTACCCTTTTTGCAGACGAACTTTTTAACGTAATGAGTTTTTAGTTCGTGAAATAAAACTACAACTAAATCGCATCGTTCTTTGCAGATACAGAATACCTAAAGCACTTAACAACCCGAAGTTGAATCTAAAATACTTTTAACTACTCAAAATGAAGTTGCATTTTATAATTGTCTGTCTCTATTGCAAACTAAATATTGAAATATTCAACAAACAATTCCTACTTAATTCTTGTTGTAAATACTTAGTAGCAGTTTGCTCTATCACAAGTGTGTACATAATTTAGTGCCGCTCTTAATGAAGTTTAAACAGTTTTATCAACTAAATGATAAAGTAGACCGAGTGCATCCATATATCATTAAACATTCAATGTCCACGTGAACTACAATACCCAGTGAACTATAAAAGACCCGTTTGATGTCAAGAAAACTATTTTCTCGATAAAATATTAACTTAATTTCCAGCTGGCTAGCTAAGGGTCTCCCCAGTTGTCGAGTCATCTCACCTTGTTATAAAGACGCTGAAGATGTGACAGGACATGTATGGCTTAAACACAAGCAAATAATTGCGACTATATTATTTTTATTTTATCTTTTGAACTGTAACAACTAAGATCATATTGTGATCTCTTGGGACAATCGAACTAACTTTGAATCAGACACTTCTGAAAGCCGAAATCATATTTATTTTCTATTTTCAGCTCATCAATTGTTTATTCGTTATCAGGCTAACTTCTAGAAAAATACATCTGTATCATTCTGGCGGAAAATAACTTGCGCATATTTACAAAACAAGTGCTTAAACTATCAACTTGGGAACGTATGCCACGATAAATTACGAGGTTACATTACAACAAAGAACGCAATAAATAGCGGTCACGTGACAGACCCTACAATTAAGTCCAGTCTCGCTGTAAAGCTCTATCTCGAGAATAACATTAAGTATTCATTTCTTTATAATATCTTTTATGCAAATCACTAATACAAATGATTTAGAGGATAATAAATCTTAATTTAATATTGGTTCTAAGTAGGTACCTCATCAGCTTTGGACACCTTTTGAAAGTAATTTCCAATAACATGTCTGTTTGATTATTACCTGACCAAATTAATATGCCATTAGTATTTTAGTTTATCCTCAATTTCCCGCACTAATGAATGTGGCCCTATTCGTCAACCCCCGGCCTTTCAGACCCGATTCTATCTTGGGATGAGCGACAAATATTTATGTGGACCATTTATTTAACCCTCTTTAACCGTTTTCGCTGAAGCACCGCCCAAAATCTCTGGTTACTGAAGCCATTCGGAATGATATGGGTACAAAGGTACAGATCTATGAAAGCAGCGTTTTATATTTATATTAATTTGTTATAATGAATCGTTTGGTTGATACGAATAATGAAGTAAGCAGTTATCATATGTTACTTTGTTGTTCAAACATGAAATTAATTAGGTATACCTAATAAATTTTATGCACCGTTTTATAGGGCTTGAATTAATGTTATCTATTTACTGCCAACCCTATATGTACTAAAGTAAATTAATATTTCATCTTTGCTTTCAATTTAATGACGTAACAATATTGATGCAAATATTGGTTCTAAAAACCTGATAAATAAATAATTTGGTGAAATTACTCGAAGCCCTTCGATACTTCGAATACAAAGACCCAAAAATCAAATAAGCCTCAAGAGCTTTTACAAATTTATAACTTCAAACGTAAAAGGGATTTTAATGGATTGTACTTGAGGGATGTTTCACTTTGTTGATAATGTTTGATTCGAAGTACCTATCTAGAGATCTTTGAGTCACAATACAATTGTTACTCAAGCAATGCGATTAGATGAGTTACCATCGAAATTCAATTGTTTGGCCTTAAAATATTTGACTCCGACAAAATGCATAGATTTTATGAATAGCCAAATAAATACAGGATATAATTCTGTCAATTTCGTCAATATTTACGTCGTCGTATTTCTTGAGTTAGAGTAGGCGCACACCGTTGATTTATTCGTCGGCCGATAGTTTAGTCGGGCAGTTGATCAGTATGGGCATGTATGGGAGTGCGCACACTACGCCGATTCGATTTGGCCGATTCTTCATACAATTTGAAATCGGGCACAACTATCGGCCAACTAAAAATCAACGGTGTGCGCCTACTCTTACTTAATATGAGATAGGTACGCATTTATCCTATAGCAATAGTGACATTTGACTATTATGAATAGGAAATTTAAACTGATTGGTGACGGATTGTATTCTTTCAGAAAGCTATCAAGTGTAGCACGTTTCAAATTTCCTATCTACACAATCTATGCGAAGTCGAAACGTAGCGTGCCGCGAGTCATTTCGCCTCGCGATCGCGTGACCGTTTCACGGTACATTACTCGGCCTTTCCGAAACGCATACGTTCAGATACATCCTTCTGTTCTCGTGTCAAATGGCACGGGCTGATTGGATAATCAACACCGGTCCTGTGCAGTTTTCCGAGAACAACAGATTTGGAGACGTTCTAGCCAACTGTCACGCAAGGATCTGCGTCATTTTTACTTTTTCACGATAAATCTTTTTTTCCTATTGTCTTTTCTTCATATACGATAGATATTACGATAGTTACAAAGTAAAAGAACCTTTTCACAATAACTCTTTTTATTTGTCATTTCTATGAAAGACGAGAGTTACAAAGAAAGAGCGTAGTTCAAAGCACACCTTCTTTTAGTTTCTGAAAGTTTTTACCTGCATATATTTATAGACTGTGACATATCAAATCCTTTCCTCCTCACCCGAATTATGAAAAGCCGATAAGTTCTAGACGATTTTATCTATAAAGAACAATAATCAACCAAATGTGCTACTTTATTAAGCCTTCAACTGTCGTCATATACGTAATCGACTTAAGAGCATGTCAAGTAACCGTTGCGACTGACAGCTCAATGAGCTAAATCTCATGTTATCCTGCTGACAAGTACTTATAGAGTTACATGACTGTCATGTCACCGATAATGCCTCTATTATGTTCAGCCTGTAATATTATTAGCTGCCGAGTTTATTGAAGCAAACAATAAAAAACAATGGGTTGAATATGAAATACATAATATACCTACTTAGTAATGTCTTGTAAAAGTATGTACACATAGATAGATATTCTTGAACCTATTTCCTTCAAAACAAACAAAGTTCCT